GGAAAGGCCAGCAAACAACAAGCAAACTCTGAAGGAGTTGGGTAGCAAGCTTCCCCAGAATCGCAGAAATCCCCTTGAAAACGAGGGAGACATTTCTGTCAGGAACTGAAAACAGACCCTTATCTTTCTGGGAAGCTTGCCCCCAGGAGAGTTACGGCCTTAAGAACAAATGTGAAGCATTAGCACAAAACAAAGCCATTTGTTTATGCGCATTTTATAGTTTCTACTGATCGCTGTCTTTCACACCTGCCTTTCTGTGGCTCACAATAAAAATCGCTGGATGGTGAGGAGGGTTGTTGCAGCTCCTCCAGAGCCTCAACCCTCTGCATCTCCACCTAAGTTCTACATTCTCCGGGTCTCGAGCTTTCTCTGCGTCCCGTGAGCACAACAGAGAAGCACGTGGATGTTCATACAATAATGCCAGCGACTGAGGACGCTGTGAGAGCAGCAACTTAGTCTGCTCTACACATGACACTTCATGAGTTTCAAAAACTGATGTTAATCATAATCACCATTTCATGTCACCTTTATAATGCTTGTTTCTTTATTTGGCTTGATAGGATAACCATGATGTGGAAACTGATTCTGCAGAAGTTTAGCAGGTTACTTAAAAATAAGATAACTATTTTCAGTGACTATTAAACTGATTTTTAAAGAGGTCATCCTTTCGTTTTCCTGGGCCAGATTTTCTAGGCCTTGCTTCTCTGGCCAGTTTTCTAGGGAACCTGACTGATCTCTATTATATATCTAAACTATACATCATGACCAGATGGCTGAGGAGCACCAGTGAGGTGCAAATGTTATTATTTTATTTAGTTGAAGAAAGTTTGGGTGTTAATTTCAGCCTTTAGTTTCTGAAGAATTACTGGATGGAAGTTGCCAGTGATAAAAGGTGACACATCTAGAAGCCAATTTAAAAAATTAAATATGTAATTAAGGCAGCTCCCCTGAATCTGTGGCAAGAGGTCCCTAATATGATTGGGTCATATTGTAGACAAGACAATCTGAGTGTGGAAAGGTAGCAACCTAGAAAGCCCCTCAAAAAAGGCAGCCAGGAGAACATCAGCCTCCCCTCCCAAACTGGAAAATTGGAGAAATCTTCAGGAACACTTTGGACTACTACACATCGTAGGGTATTTGAAGACAATTTTACCCCCATTTCAAGGGTCAGAAAGACCACTTGTGTCCTCTCCCCATTATATCTAGGTTATAAACTAAAAACTGTAACAAAGTCAATGTACTGAAGAAATTTACAGGAATAAGGGGCTCTGTCTGGGTCTTCATCTTGGGTTTGCTACAAATTTGCTTCAGAACCTTGGGACACCCCTTCTGCACCTCATTTCTTTTACTAAAAACACGCACTGCAAGCAAGTTGGTGATCCCTAAGCACTCTTTCAGCTCTAACATCCTAGGATTCCTGTTCTCAAGGGCTGCTAGGCTTTCAAAGATGCTCCAGAAAGAGAAGACCCTCATATACTACTGGGGGCCTGGAAAGTCCCAAAGACTTCGTTCCTAGGCATTCATTTGTAAGGTCTCATGGCTCAGCGGTTGAGTGTCAACCTATGATCCAGGAGGTCGCAGTTCAATTCCCCACCAGGGCACGTGCCCGGGTTGTGGGCTCAATCCACAGAGGGGGCCTTGCAGGAGGCAGCTGATCAATGACTCTCATTGATGTTTCTCCCTTCCTCTCTCTGAAATCAATAAAAATATGTAGTTTTTTAAAAGTCTTATTTTTGAGCTTGTGTTCTTTAAAAACATTTTTTATTTTTGATCAATAAAAGTTGTATGTGTACAACGTGATATTTTGATGTATGTATACATTGTGAAATGATTACCACAAACCCCTTCACCACCACCTCTCATAGCTACCTCTTTGTGTGTGTATGTGAAGAGAACAGGAGATCTACCAAATTTCAAGTTTTTAATGCGTTATTATAACTCTAGTCCCCGTGCTGTACATTAGCTTCCAAAACTTACTCAAAACTGAAAGTTTGTGACCTTTGCTGCTCTTGTGTTCCTGACTGCAATATTCTGCTACTCCTAGCTCTACACCCAGCATATTACCCTTAACTTATACATGGTCCAGTAACCAAAGTCTGTCTTTATTCCCAAACCTCAGATGAGAGCCTCCTTCACCAGAAGGTCATTGGCTGTTCTTGTGAGCTCCTGTGCCTCCAAGGAGCATACCTTGCTTCCCTACTCCCCAAACGAGTTTCTTACCAGTTCCTGTGCCTGGTGATGCAGGCTTGGTTTGGGTCGTGTTAATCATGACACGCCTTAGTTAAACCCACTGTACTTGATTATTTGGTGTCGTGACTTACCTGATCTGTGCCCTTACGAGGGGTGTTCTCAGTGCCTGACTTCGAGGAAGTCCTGCTGACCAGTCGGGCTCCTGCCCTCAGATCTCCCCAGACCTTGGAGGGCTTCACACGCACAACTGGGACGTGTGTGTGTGAGTGTGCATGTCTGCAGGTATACCTAACCGGCCTAAAAGGTGTGTGTATGGATGACAATAGTTTTCTGGGCTGGAGAGGTGAGTACCAAGTGGTATATATCAGTGTTTCCTTTTATGGATCATGCGAAAGGTGTCAAGTCTTAAGAAGTCTGTCTAGCCCCGTCCTGAAGATTTTCTTCTCTATATTTTCTTTCTAAAAGTTTTGTAGTTTTAAGTTTTACATTTAAGTCCTTTATCCATTTTGAGTTAACTTTTACCTAAAGAGTGGGGTTGAGGTCAGGTTTATTTTTTTTGCCTGGATGTCCAATTGCTCCAGCATCGTGTTTTGAAAAGGCTTGAAGTAGGCGGGCGTAGGCACTGCCTACCGTTTTCCCCTGAGGGAGGGACCCAGCTGTTCTTGGTACTTAATACATCAACTCCTCTCTCAAAACTGATAAAACAAGTGCAGCAAATTCCCCTCCCATATTTACTTTCCCAGTCATTTTTCCTAAGTATATACGTGAGGCCTGGCCGGCATGGCTCAGCGGTTGAACGTAGACTATGATCCAGGAGATCCCGGTTCAATTCCCCGTCAGGGCACATGCTTGGGTTGTGGGCTCGAACCCCTGCAGGGGCTGTGCAGGAGGCAGCCGATCAATGACTCATCATTCATGTTTCTATCTCTCCCTCTCCCTCTCACTGAAATCAACAAAAATATATTTTAAATAAATATACGTGAGGATTTCAGGAGTCATCCAACCATATTTAGCCACCTACTTTGACATTTACGCATGATACTGTAACTTTAGAATATAGCACCTATGGCATGTTGTAAAGTAGGTATACAATGAAAGCCAGATATGTAATTTTAAATATTTTAGTAACCATATAAAAAACTGATAAATGAAGAGGCGAGAGGAATTTTCATAAGATACTTTATTTAACCCAATACATCTGAAATATCAATAAGCAATCAGTGTAATAATTAGTAATTATTATTTTAAACTCCCTTTCCCATAATAATTCTTGAAATATGGTGTGTATTTTAGACCTGCAGGCCTTTCAGTGGAAACTAGGAATATTTCAGTTTCTCAGGAGTCTCATGTGGCTGGTGACTGCTGTGTTGAGCAGCACATTATGTATTACACATCAGCTCGAATGGAGACAAGGAGAGTGCCATTTTAACATTTAACTGGCTATTGTGCAATAACTGAAGTGAAACATAAACTGCAAATTGATTGATAAACACAAAATGGTGTTTTTTAACCTTCACCAAACTGTCAAACTATTTTTTAAACTGTATTTTTGACTGTTGAACCCACATCCTGCCAGCAGAGGGAGCGCTAAGCTGGCAAGACGGCATCCTGTCAACTAGACTGGCTGGATGTGAAAACCAACGCACTGGTTCTGGTAGGGAAAAATCATACTTTTACAAAAATAATACTTTATGAAAGTATATGTTAATTATAAAAATATTTAGAATATTGATAAGTAGAATCTAAATCAGTTAATACATCACCCATACTCCCACTGAAACACAAACACCAATTTTTACTACATTCAGTTCCAGGCTCTTTTCTGTAATAGGATTTCATTCCCTGTAATGATAGGCATACTGAGTGGAATTGGGGTTCAGGGATATTTGAACATGTTTAAAATCTGATGGGAATGATCAATTAGAGTGAAAAGCGTTTGAAGAACTTGCACTGCTATAGAGAAATGGAGCTGCTGGTAGAATAAAATTTATGATCAATTGAGGAGCTAGGTGCACACAGTCATACACATTATATTTGTATAACAGCCTCTATACAAGGGTTTCACTTTACAGAGCGCATAGAGCAGATCATATGCAATAGGACAGCAGGAGGAAAGGGAGTGCCGGTGACATAGATTTGGGGGTAGGAACTGGATGGGGTTCTCTTTTTCTTCCTTTCCTTGCTTTCTTTACATTTTCATACATGTGGTGGAAGGGGGTTTCCTGTGCTGAGAACAGAGGGCAAAGTTGGAAGTTTGAGGGGTGTGAAATAAGAAGCAAAGTCATACTCTACGACAGAAAAGTGAGATTTGGAAACTTGAAGAATGGCGGCAGTTTGGAATAATGGCTGGGGGAAATGATGGAGGGGAGGGCGAGGAACTGCTGAGCACTGTGTAGAAGGAGCGCAGCTGTGACTGGGGTCTACACATTTATGGTGGCATCAATCTTCACGGCTGCTTGGCTTTTGGCAGCTGCATCGGCACCCATCTGTAGAAGCAG